TTCCAAAAACCTTGAAAATACAATGCGAGGGAAAAAAATAAGGTCAAGGAATAATTTTCACATAAATTATGTGAGACTTTGCTAGAGGCAATATATTTTCTAAAACAAATTAAAATTTTTTAAAATTAACTCTCGTAGCAAACTTTTTTTTGCCTTCTTAGCAAAATTGTTCGCTGTGTGTTTAGTAAATTTAATTTAGCAGAATATAATATAGAAACAGATATTGAAAAAATTTACTACAGCAGCTAAAATATTTGCTACAGCTGATAAAAATTTAGCTGTGACGTGTAAAAAAAACTGAAAAATTAATTCGCTGTATTAACTAAAATATAATTTGGTGACAGTGAACTATGACAAGAAATTTAATAGCAAATAAATTTGCTGTAAGGACAAAAAAAGTTTACTGTGAGAGTTAATTTTTAATTTTAACAGTAAACACTTTCGCTGTCAGAGTAAATATAATTTGTTTACTAAATTTTATAAATTCGACATCAATTGTTAGCATCAGCAAATTCCTTTTTGTAACAAAATTTGCTGTTGCAAAAAAAATTCTCTGTCACAGCAAACTTTTATTGTTTCGCATGTGTTTTTATTCTGAAAATCTCACCGTCGTCTCAAACTTATATATTACATTTACAAATATACAATGTGATTTTATTCCTCTAAAGGCATAAAAAAAAACTCGTCGACTTTATACAAAGTTGCGCACATTGATGAAAACCTGATATCCTACTGTTTTGCTCATTAAGGCAAGATGCAACAAAGTTTATTCAAGAGATGTTTTCATATGTATAATTTATAAAACATAATTGACATAGAGGATGAGGGAAAAAAACATATGTATATATTTATATAGTGTTTGTGTGTGAATACACGCATATATACGAGAGGAGAGTTGAGACATGATATCCTCAAGATTGTTTGTGACAAGAAGCTTTTACAACATTTATGCAGCCCCCTATGGGAATTTATGCCCTTATCGCGTTTATATCTTATATGCAAATCGCAATCCTTTGCAATAGAGAATTCTCATTCTTATACGTGTGTGTGTGCGTTTGTCTCTTTATTGGCGAACTCTTTATAATATGTTATATGCGGCGCATACAATATATGCATATAAATGAAATAAACGTTCCGGGAATTTCGTCTGATCTCTCTAAATTGTATTTCTTCAACTCTTCTCCTCTGAACAAAAACAAATTTTGTTTTATTTCATTGCTTCTTCAATGTTGCATATACATATACACGCACATGTCCTGCATTTTTTATAATCAGGTTTTTTTTATTCAAAATTTTAAAATGGCGAAAAATAAATCACTGTTAATTGTGTGTTATTATTTTTAATTTATTATTATTATTACACTGAAAAAAAAAATTTATTTGGTTCAAGTAAATATTTATTTAATAATTAATAGTTAAGTTATATTATTTGAATCAAATAATTTAATTTTTCAGTGTAAATTTGCGTTTATTTGTTTTAAATAAAAAAAAATTTAAATTAGAAAATAAAGCAAATAAAGTAAATACTTTATAAGTTAACTGCGTGTGATTAGCGAGCAAAGTTTGCTGTGGTAGTGAATTTTTTGCTACCACAGTAAACTTTTTAAAGAAAAGAAAAATAACGCGAGTAATAACTGTAAATAAATTTTAAAAAGTATTTATTAAAAATTTAACACGAATGATAAAATCAAAGAATTATTAAAATGAGCGCAAAGTATACTTGATTTACATAATGGAAATAAGAAACTAATAATCTTGAAACGTTTTAAGATTAGTTCTGCGCACTTTTTTTTTTATTTTTTGCATTGAAATTCTCATAATTTATATATATATATATATATATATATATATATATATATATATATATATATATATATATATATATATTCTATATGTGATATATACACGTAAATTCCGTTATAAGAATCCTCGGAATTATGTAATATATAACTGAATAACCCAATCATATAAGTGTCATCTACAAAAATATATTTTAAAGAAGATTTAAGAACAATATATTTAAGACTTTGGAAATTTGAATATAAATAGCTTTTTTTTTAAATACATTTTTACTTAGAATGTAAAAATAACTTTTCAATGTAAAATACGAGTATTTCGAAATATAATAATAATAATAAATATTATATTATTATTACTATTGTAATAAATATTAAATTATTATTATTATTAATTATTATATTAATAATAGTTGAATATTATTTTCATGTGTCCCATAGAGAAAAAATAAAGTCTCAATATAAATAAATAAATACCTAAATAAATAAATAATAAATTTGTTTTAAAACAAATTTTCTATCGTTCAAATAAAAATTTTATTTACTCTATACAAATATTGAACATTTTCTTGGGACAACCAATCAAGTTTGATTGTAAATATAATTTTTTTTTTTCCTTGTAAAAAATTATTTATACTATATTTTTATTTATTGAATACAAAAATAAAAATAGAAAATTAAATATTTATTTAAGATAAAAGTTTATTGCAAAATATATATAATAAGTTGTGGCAAAAATGATATAGATTAAAACACACACATATATATATATATATATATATATATATATTAAGAACCAATAGATCTTATATATATATATTAGTAAAAGATCATTAACCGCGTAAAACGTAAATAATGTTCAGTTTTGTGAAAATATACGTGCGACAGTTATTATTCGGTTCTTTAGTTCACTTGACGTATTACCCATAGTATATAAGTATGAATATATATCTCAAAAATGAGATATATATACATATAACCCTTACGTTAATGGAATATTCATCACACGACGACGCAGATTTAGAAAATAAATCAATTTTGCGATTTCATAAATTTATTTTATTTACACTAAAATTTACATTGTGACAATATGCTAATATTTACTATACTCGTGTATTAAAATATTTATCTTAACTTATGTTTGTTTAGGAAATGTTTTATATATTATATTACCAAAGATTTAAATTTTAAACGGCGATTCCCTATTTAAATATAATTAATAATAACAATAATAATAATAATATTAATAACAACTACAACAACAACAACAACAATAATAATAATAATAATAATAATAATAATAATAATAATAATAATAATAATAATAACAACACCGAAAAAACGAAATTCTAAATTTAAGAATATCTTAATTCTTGGCGCCTATTGAAGATTAAATTTCCCATCGATTTTATTCTTATATAGTTAAAAATAATATTAAAATAAAAATAAAATTATTCTTAAAAGAAGAATATTTCTTAATTTAAGAATTATTCTTTATTTTAAGACTTTGTACGCATTGAAAAAAAATGTATTTGATTTAAATACTTCTCGTGCAGAAATTCGCCAACCTGGCCCTGACCTGGTTGAAATAGGGAACCCTGCTTCATATGCGATTTTGGAGTTTCCCGACGTGGGCCCTGGCAGGGCCCTTTTTTAAAATTTCTGCACGGGTCTCGCGATTACTTGCGACTATTATCAAATAAATATTTACTTAAACCAAAGAATTTTTATTTGAATTAAATAAATTGTATTTAAACTTAAATATTTTCTGTAATTGAAATAAATACAATTTAATTGATTCAAATAATAATTATTTGATAAAAATAAATATTTATTTGGTAATATATATATATATATATATATAGTCAAGCAATCGAGTATTTGAATCAAATAATTTTTTTTCCAGTGCGTAAGTACAGAAAATAATGCGACTCAAAGAGAAAAGTTTTGTTTGAATCGAATATAATCATTTTTTTTTTTTTTTGGTAGTTTAACACAATTATTTAATTACTTCAAATAAAATTTGTTTTTGATTTAAATAAATATTTATTTGAACTAAATAAACGTTTTACTGAAATAATTTTTTTTTTCTATTGAAGATATATAACAAATTTTGAATATCCTAAATTTTTTGCTTGTAAGCATATCTTTTGTTTCGATTAAAATTTCGTTAAATACAATAAATAATTTGGTTCATTTAAATAAAATTATTTAATTGAATCAACCAAACTTTAACCCAATTCATTTATTTGGTTGATTCAATAAATTTGGTAGTTCAAATTTGATATTGTTTCAAACAAATTTTTCTCTGGAGAAAACAGAATTTTAAAGATATTTCTTATAACTATAATGAATTTGAGACCCTTAAATAGTCCTACAAATTTCGACACAAAATATACAATATATGTACAGACGATAAGGCGATAAAAAAAAGGAAAAAAAAAAATGCTTACCCATAATATAATCGCCATTATAGAAGCGACTCTAACCTCATCATCAGTAGTGTGAAGCATATGTATATATGTATATATATACAAACACAAAGTTGGTTGAAGCTCATTCCTCTCTTGTTTCCGCGAATTCCCTCCTCTCGATCTCTCTCCTCCACCTACACGAACAACTCCGGGGGTTGTAACAGTTGACTGCACGGGGTTTTATGTCGTATCCATCTCTCGTATATGTTGTCGAGGGGGAACGATAGAAGAGTGACGTAGGGTCAGACTTTAGAAACGCAAGCGCAGTAAAGTTGCCTTGTTACAGGAAGCACATGGTCGCCCGGCTATCCGCGATGTCGCTGCCGCCTTTCTGCCTATTCCAATGGCACTCGTTTTTTTTTTTTTTTTTTAATAAATATTACATTCCATAAGTAAATAATAATAATAATCCTCTTCTGTGTTTTTTTCCGCCGAAAAAACATTTAAAAAAAAAAAAAAAATTATTTACTTCAATGTTAATGAAAGTTAATTCGGTATGTAATAACAAAAGTTTTCTTTTATTGTCCTCGCGAAAGTCTCCATCTTTTTGTAAACCACGCTGTGAATTCCGTTATGACAAAATCAGATCCAAGATAAAGAGGTTATGTTTCCTTACTAGTGAATATGTTTCTTTATTTTTTTTATGACAATTTTTGGAGGTTATAAAAGTTTTATTTTAGTGATAATTTTTGTGAATTAACAAGTGTTGTTTTTCTTTTTTTTGTTCTAGTGTCGAGTGTGTTGGACATTTTTTCTGTGTATCGAAAAGTGGATGATATTTCATCTGCGGTGAGTTTTATTTATTTATTGTTTATTATTTTACTGCAAAAAAGCAAATTTATTTCTATTTTACAAATTGTAAATATGGTCCATATAAGAGTAAAATCATACATAAAAAAAAGATAATATACTTGACTATTATCAAATAAATATTTACTTGGAGCGAATAATTTTTTCTTTACTGTAAATTTAAAAGTAATAATTTTTATTTATAATTAATTTTAAATAATTTTATAATTCTTTTTTTATTTTTATTTATTAATTTAAAAGTATTTGATAGAGTTTCAAATTGATAAAAACATTTGGATTTGGTGTACTTTGTATTTGAATTAAATATATACACTGTATTTTTGGGCCAAATAATTTTTATATATTTGAATTCAATAAATTTTAAACTAAATAAATTATTAAATTAAATATTTGAATCAATAATTGATGTATTTGAAACAAATATAATTTAATTGACTCAATAATTATTAAATAGAAATATATTTATTTTAATAATATTCAGGTAACGCGATTATTTGAATCAATAAATTTTTTTTCAGTATATAATTAAAAATAGGTGTGTGGAAATTATTATTGTTAAAACTTTTAACTGTATTTTAATTATAATTTATAATAATATTTGAAATATTTATTCTTAATTTTGGTATTTATTCTTAAATTTATTATTTATTCTTAAATAAATAAATAAGATTAAATAAACAAGAATAAATAAATAAGAAGAATTTTATTCTTAAGAGTACAATATACAAAATTTATAAGAAAATGGCACACTTCCCACTGGGTTATATAATATATATATATACTTAAAAGCCACTCAACATTTAGGATCTCTCTTGTCTTTTTTTACTGCAGTAAATGTTTAATTGAAAATTCGTTTCACATCATGCGAACAATAAATTCGTGCTCGAATTCGTGTAAACCTAAAAATAAGAGAAATATAACCGCTAAAAGAAAAAAGAATAACATTTTTGCTTGAAAATGTCATACACGCGTGTTTCTATATTCTTGGAAGAAACATAACCAATAACTTATAGTACTTATACAAGCACTCTCTCTTAATTTTAATCAGTGAAATTTCACTGGTGAAATATAGCTAGAAGTCGGTTACTGAATCATTTAGTGAAATTTTCACTGAAAATCAGTCAGATATCACTGATTTCCAGTAAAAATTTCACTAAATGAATCAGTCAATCTGTATTATCGGTAATGGGTAAAACAAATTGACTGATTCATTTAGTAAAATTTTCACTGAAAATCAGTGATATATGACTGATTTTCAGTGAAAATTTCACTAAATGATTCAGTAACCGACTTCTAGCTATTTCACCAGTGAAATTTCACTGATTCAAATTAAGAGAGTGTAAGATACAAATGTTTATTCTAGGAGAGAAATAGATGGTAAAAACTTATGATCTTAAGATGGTAAAAAGTAGATGTTATCCGGTACTATCATTATGCTACTCGGTACTATCAAAGATGTTACAAAAAGTATGGTTATGTTACCCACTACTCTCTAAATTTGAATCAGCGATAAGTATACCACTGGTACCAATCAGCGGATATACGCTGAAAAATCAGTGAAATTCCACTAATTCATCAGTGCATATAAGCTGATTAGAATCAGTGGTATACTTATAGCTGAGAATCAGCGAGATTCCGCTGATTCAAATTTAGAGAGTACAATCAAGTTGTTACTTTGTACAATCTGGATAGTAACTGATGATAGAAATCTAGATTGCTGTCCGTATATGTAAGATCAAATATATGATACTATCTCCCCTATCTATTTTTCTCCGTGTATACTTTTTACTTTTAAATCTTAAATTGAAAATGTATTTAAAATTGATAATGATAATCATTTACTTTATTTTATTACTTTATATTGTGATGTACGTAAATTCCCATATGATTACAGAGTTATAGAGAAATTTTATAACGCGTATATATATATATATATGATGTAGCAACAAACAACCTTTATACATATTCAGTAGTTATCTAAATTTTCTGTTTAATATTTTACGCGCGTCGTATTTGCAACATAACATATATTATAAATAGTATAAAACGTATGTTACATTGTAAATATATATATATGTGTATATATATTTTTTTCTTTTTTTTCCTTAAATGAAATTTATTACATATTATCCATTTATGAGGTCTTATTAAGAATAAAATATTTATATCTATTCTTAAAACATTATTTATTTTTTAATTGAATTTGTTTTAAAAAAAAAAATTATAGAAGTAACGGTAAATGTAGAATGGAAATATATGTATAAATTAGAATTTATAAAATGGATTTGACAGAAAAAAATTACGGTAGAAAAAAAGATAAAGAATTTTGAAAATGTGCATTTTAAAAAAGACATTATTTTATTAAATTAAATTATTTTTTTATTATTACATTATTTTTTATTTTCTTATTTATTAATATACAGGGCAAAGTAACTGGAAAATACAAAAAATTATAATTTGAAAAAAATTAAGTATATTTAAAATTTTTAAACTTGATCCGCAAAAGAAATAAGTACATTTTTTTTTAAATTTGTCCTTTATTTTTTGGTTTACATTATACAAGATTACTTATATATTTCGCGTTTTAGTTTAGAAAAAAAATTAATGACTGTAAATTTAAATAGTTTACTGCAATTTTTTTTTTTTTTTGTTAAAGATAATACATATTGTCTTTGGGCTACCATCGCGCCATGCATATTTAATGTGTATTCGCAAGTAGTAGTGACGTTGCACAGTGGGACTTACTTTGCGCATGTCTCACTGTTGCTATACTACTTACGATTTACACATGAAGCGCCTCTTCGTCTAAACGATGATTTTCTCTATACAAAAAAATTATAGTATTTCGAATATAGTTTTTTATTTATTTTTTTCTAAACATGTTTTATACACAAAAAAAGAAATAGTAACAAAATGTTTTAATAGCAAGTAAAAACAAATTTTAAAATTGGTTCAAAGTGATTAAATAAAAAATTTAGAAAAATAGAATAAAGTTTGCTTGTTTCAAATAAATTTTAATTGACTTTAAATAAATTTTATTTGCAAGCAATAAATTAGATTTACTTTAAAGAAATTTGATTTTAATTTGAAATAAATTTAATTCCACTGAAACTTATCCCTGTTCCAGGTAAAGATTTTCATTCAAATAAATTATAAATAATAAAATAAAAAATAATAGAATAAAAAAAAAAATAAATTATAATTTTTTGCATTTAATTAACTTTGGTACAAAAAAATACAATTTATCATGACTAACAAGTATATTATTATCTCGTTTGAGTGAAGTGATCTGTCAGTATGTTTTGATAGACAGCTCTCGTTCATTTTTATTATTATTATTTTTTTTTACTTTTTTTTTTCGATTTCATGCCAGCACTCAATAATCAATGGGAACGTGCTCTTTGAAAAAAAAGCTTAAGGGGAAATGGCGTGACGTCATGCAAGCACTCGTGCCAAGAAATCATTAGCTAGTCTAGTTTGCCGTCTGATCACCATAGTGTGCGCTTATCGCGGTTTATTGAGTACATGCTATATACTGCATATATGATAACAAGCTAAAAGAAAGTAAATGCCAACATTATTCATGAACGTGTGGGCGTCTTCTTTTGAGAATAGAAAAAATAAATAAATATCACTAATGGAACGAGATTTTTTTTTAACGCCACTGAACAATTATTTATTTTTTGAGATTGAATTTTTAATATTAAAATATATTTTAATTTATACAGTCTAAATTTTAATTTGTAAGAAAATTCGTTCAATAATTTTAATTAGTAGAAATTTTCACTAATTTCGACTAATATTTAGTAAAATATTACTAATTTTTGTTTCTTCAAAGAGGAAATTTATTATTTAGTAAAATATTACTACTTTTTTTTCGATTAACAGTAATATTTATTATTACTACAGTTTTAGTAAAAATAATTATAAATTAGTAGAAATTTTCACTAATTTCCACTTAATTTTCATTAAAATACTAATATTTTACTAATTTTGACTACTTTTTAGTGAAATATTACCATTTGATTTAGTACTATATATATTTTTTACTAAAATTTTTAATAAAAAATGACTAAAAATTAGTAAAAATTTTCACTAATTTAAATTAATAAACGAATTCTCATTAATTCAAATTATTAGAGAGTAAATTTAAAACTAATTAATTGTATAAGTAAAATATTGGCTGACTTTTTGTTTTGTAAATTAGTAAAAAAAAACAACTAATTATCAGAAATAAAATAACTAATTTTTAATAGAAAAATAAATTAATAAAAAATAGTTAAAACTTACAAAATATTAGTAAAATGTAACTAATTTTTAATAGAACAATTAATTTTAAAAAATAGTTAAATTTAACTATAATGCAATTTATTCTCTAAATCTGAAATAGTAAATTTTTAAAAAATACTAAATTAGTAAAATTAAACTAATTAATAATAAAAAAATGTTATTATCCAATTAGTAAAATACAACTAATTATTAGTAAACAAAATTTTTTTTTACTATCGAATTAGTAAAATTTAACTAATTCAAAAGCAAAAAGTTAGTCACTAATTTAAATTAGTTCAAATTTTTACTAATTCAAATTTAGTGATTAGTTAACGAAATTTTCGTCATTTTGACATAACAGAAAAGTGAATTTTTACTATTAATAATTATTTTCTTTTGTAACTAAAATTTTAATAGAAATCAAATCAGTTATTTTTAACTTATAATTCAAATTTCAAATAGTGTATCAAATTTAAATTTTCTTTTCACGGTCTAAATTATTATAATATATATATATATAAATAATGAACCGCTAAAAAAAGAAGAAAAAAAATACCATCTTGATAAGAAATAACTCGTGGAATTTCCAGTGAAATATTCTATAGTCGCAAATTATTATTATTTTGAAACTGAACAATGATGAGTATAATATGTTTAGGAAAATTTTTTTTTTTTCAAATCCTTATCCGATGTCAAGTATAATACATAGG